GCACTCAACGGAGCATGCGCATTCGTAGTGTACACAGAAAAAGGAAACTAGGTTGCCGCGCCGCGCGCTTCTTCGTTGCGCGCAGGCGTGTGTTGTGATCGCCGCCTCTCCGTAACCACGGAAGCTCCACGGTTCCTCCACAGAACCTCCACAGGAGGTATGATCGCTTTACTGCGTGTTAGTTTGCCCTGGGGCAAACAGCCACGCTTCCCCCCCGCAGTTTCCTGCCCGTGTGACCGGGGCCCTGGGTTGTGAAATACCTGTAGATTTGAGAAGTAGAGCCTAGGGAGGGCAGGATTTGGGGTGGGGAGGGACCTCAGTAGGGTATAATACCATAGAGTCCATTGCCCAAAGCAGCCATTGTCTACAGGAGAACTAATCTTGGAGATCTCCAGGTGCTGCCTGGAGGCTGGCAATACTAAGGGGAGGGCCAGACCTGTAGATTTGAGGGGTAGAGCCTGGGGAGGGAAGGGTTTGAAGTGCGGAGCGACTTCAGCAGGGTATAATGCCATAGAGTGCACTGCCCAAAGCAGCCATTGTAATAGCTGGAAAATTTTCTGTAGGGGAACTGATGTGCTGTGGCTGGGGAACACGGTGATTTCTGGGAGATCTCCAGGCCCCACAGGGAGATTGGAAACTCCAGTGACCATTTAAGGGAAGATTGGGATATGTATTTTGGCAACTCCAGCGACTGTTTAAGGGAAATTTGGGATATGTATTTTACCTCAGGACACACTGAATGACTCCCAGGAGCAACAGCGAACTGTTTAGAATGTTAGAGGCAAAGACCAATCAGGCTGCATATGCAAATGACCTCTGTGTTCCAACTGGCTATTGGGGGAGAGGAACAGCAAACTGTTTAGAATATTGGAGGCAAGACTCAGGCAACGCAGCCAGTGGATAGAGACACCTTGTGAGTGACACATCAGGGAGCCAACTGATTTAGGAGCGTGTGGAATGTTCAGGAGAGTCCATGACCAAAACAGAATTATATATAAGGAGAGATTACATAAAATGTGCGTACACGGATTCAACTTCAGAACTGACCATTTTTAATAAATCATCTTTAAATTCTGATCTACTGCAAACACATTTCAGTATAATTCGACATTACCTGGGCAAATGCAACAATGCCATGAGCATCATCATTAGAGGGAATAATTATGGTAACATAACCATTAGCACCAATTTCTGCACCACCTTTTGGGTTTTTCAGCCATACTTGAAAAAATTCTTCTTCCTCTGGGATTGTGTCATCAAAGATATTAATTGCCACCACAACTTCCTTGTCTCCAGGTTCAAATATCAGTTCACCTGAACTAGCATTAAAATACAGATAGACAACATAATTATGACTAAAGGCTTGTTTTTCACAACAAATACAGAAAACAAAGATTTTGTCAGAGCACAAACAACATCCAGAGGTAAAGCATGGCAATTAAGATTTCAGGTGGTAGTAAAAGGATCAAGAGGGCAACCTGATAATAGCCACACCCTATGCCAGCTAAGGTCAGCAGGATGCAGGCAAGCCTTAAGAAGAACTACCTGAAAGGTCTTTCTTTACCTCCTCACCCCACTCATCCCTTTATTATCATCCAAACTGATGAAGAGTTCTGGAGAATTCAAAAGGTTGTGTTGCTTTATTTTGGCTGATTTTAATAACAGGTAACACTGTTTTCATTTTGGTATTTTTCTATGGACCAACATGGCTACATATTCCCTCAGCTGTCATTTGGGTTTTAACTTTATAAGGAACATCTTATTAATACATATTTTGACCAATAATATTACACCAGATTTCTCCACTCCTTCAATGACTTTGGGGGACATCGATGCTGGAGCAGAAGGGAAAAGGCAGGGAAGTTTGTTTCTATAAGTACCACATCTTTTGCTTTAATTAGGCTCTATCCCACTGATTTGTGCATTTTACAGTTCCTTCACTAGAGAGCTAAAGAATAAGAAATGAAGAACAGAAGGGATTTCATTAATGTTCCTTAATGCCATGGCAAAGAAACAAACAAGAAGAAAGAGTCCATGAAGGAACTTTGCAAATTATAACTAATTAAAACATTCGTAAAGGAATAACTGTTTATATATCCAAAGGATAAAATCAGAAACTTACCTAGGTATAAAATCTGATTGGTTGGAAACAGCAGTCAGCTCATAAATATAGGAGTAGAAATCTCCAGACAGAACAATTAAGGTTTTGTTGAAATTAAGTGATCCTACATTGACAGTGGTGAAATGACTGGCAGAAGGGGCCTCTAGTACTTGAGAGAATCGATTTATTTCTGAATTCCAAGAATAAAGAGCTGACTTATCCTTGCAAGCAAAAAGCACATGAACTGCATCAAGAAACATGAAAGGGAGAACTTTAGAAAGACAAACTGTAAACATTTCAACTGAGATAAAAGGTGAGTTCTAAAATTTGCTTAAGAACCTAATTTAACTTTATATTTACTTCTAGAATAGGGTGCAGCTGTAATGGCACAGCTTACTCTGCCCTGAGAGCTACAAAACTATTAACTTTACGTCTGTTCAACCAGCTTGTTCTATTTTTAAGTCCAATACTGAAATGTCAGCCTACTAATAGAAGAGTGCCGTTCTTTCAGTCTATGCTATTACATTATTTGCTACTTCCAAAACCAATATATTCATCAATATAATGCATATTCCATTGTGATACTCACTGAACTCCATAAGACACTAAAGAGGTAGGATGCCATATAGATTGCAGGAAAAGGAGTAGCAGTAACAATCACAAAACAAACACACATTACTCTTTTGATCACACAAATTCACATTGCATTTAATTGCCGAAGTAAATTAGAAGATCCCAACTGGCTCATGCCAATAGTCCATCTAGTCCTGTTTCTCACAATGGCTGCACAGATACCCTGAAAGCTCTACCCACAATTAAAAAACATACTTGCATTCTTCACATACAATGGCATATATCGCTTTCATACAACTTCTCCTGAACACAAAATGAGTGATGTACATCATAAGGGCACATAGGTTCTGTCACCTTACCTAACCCTGAGGGTGGGAGAAAAGTATGGATTTCATTTACAGCTTTGATGGAAAGAGATTGAAAATGCCTGAAGGAAGATTGCCCTGTCTCCCAGACAAAAATTTCACATGTGTCGCTGGTCCCTGTGAAGAACAACAAAAAGAAGACTATGGTAGTTGCATATAGAAAATAAAATAATTATTTGTATTGGTGCCCGGTACATTAACATATTATATTTATTTATATAAGATATTTCTATACCGCTTTTCCCTCTGGCTCAAAGCAGGTTCCAGTGACAAATGACTACACAAGAAATATCTCTACACGTTTCAAGAAGAATATATTTTCCTATTACAGGTCCTAAAAACAGGAGATACATGAAGTAGCTAAACAACAGATGGGGCAGATTACTGTCATTATACTTAATCATTTACAAGTTCTCTCTAACATAAAGTGTCAGGTTGAAAAAATCTTTTAAAAGCAACAAACACACAAGAAATGAATACAAACAGTTGTTAAATTACTAGCCACACATATGTGTCTCAAAAAAGCACACACTGTACATTCAATATTATATTCATGCTGTACACTGTCAAGGACGTTTGTTAAAAACTGGCCTAGAAACATTTCCTTGATAAGAAGAAAGCAATTTCCGTTCTCATTTCATGATTCTATTTCCATAGTAACAGCTGAATCTTAACATACTTCCATCAGACGGATTCTGTATATATGAATACCTTTTGCAAAAATTAAGTAGATGTCGGATTCAGAAGTCAAGGCTTTCACTCGTGTTATTCCACTGACTGGCACTTCATGAAACTTTCTAAATTTGTTGTCTGACCATTCATATAAAAGAGAGTTTTGGCTGGAATCTGATGGCACAACTACAAGATAAAGAGTGCCTCCCCTGGGAAACAGAGCCACATCTAGAGCACCATTCACGAAGAGTTCATGATGTAATACAAAGATGCCATTATTCCAGAGGAAGATCTGTATAGAAATAAAAGAAATCTAGCTACAATTAAGAGGCTGAAAGAAATTGGATGTCATGTTAAAATGCCATTCCCCCTCACATAAAAGGCGAACTAGCTGTTTCCTTAGAATATGAAAAACAAGGTATGTCTCTAACTAAATAACTTGTGACTAACTAAATAAATCACTCATAAAAGTATCAGCATTATTAAACTATTTCCATAATACAGAGACATTCAAAATTTGGCAGACTCAAGTTGTATTCAATGGTTGTTTTCCACTGATGGAAGGGCACTTCTGTTGGTGGATGGGGCGAATTTTTTTGGCAATTCCCCTCTCCTGTTACAGAACTCTACATCATACACAGCACTGATCCTGATGATCTCCTGAATCCTAGAGGCAGTGGTTAGGGGGATGCAGAGGACAGCAACAGGAGGCAGAAAAGTGTCTTTCTTTCAGCAGAGCTCTGTTCATGGCTGGCTGAATACAACCCATTATGATATGCTGTTCAAAGAGAAATCTAAAATGTGGCATATTATCCATCTGTTCCAAATTGTATGATGTGAACTCTATCTCAGAATGGCAGACTTTCCAGCAAGCCAAGCAACATCTCCATCATAATGTAGGATTTCTCCCTTTACCCATTATAGTGCTCTTTGGGTTGGAAGAGACAGAGTTCATGTCGGCATGCAGAAATGCACCATACATGTGGCAGAATGGAGGTCTTCCTTTGCACCATCTAACAGGCACTGGATAGGGAGAAAAGAATTTCCAGAGGAAGCCAGAAGCACACCTGTATTTAAACGTTATTTACCAACAATAGCTGTATACTATTTTTAGTGTGCTATACATATTGCTCCCATTTCATCCAACTGAATGTACCACATTATTCAGAACACCACAGAACATCTATCACAATAGTCTAAATTATGAGCACACTTTACACAGTAAGAACAATAAAAATCATCCAACCTGGAGAGATTCAGTCACGCAACTGGCAATTATCAAGTAGTGATTTTGGCCCAAACTGAAGTACTCTATATCACTGCTGTCTGGGACCAAGATGTCCTGTATCTGCAAGGGGGAAAAAAAACAAGCAGAGGAAGAAGCCATTTTTCTACCTCATGCTTTTACCAGATCCAGTTCAAGGTACTAGCTATTACCTAAAGCCCTTTATGGCCAGGGGCCTGCCTACCTGAGGGCCCGCCTCTCCCCGCATGTTCCCCAGAGAGCACTGAGATCAGGATCACAAAACCGCCTGGCTGACATCGACCAGGACTAGGGCGTTTTCTTTGGCAGCTCCGACCTGCTAGAACAAGCTCCCCGAGATCAGGGCCTTGCGGGACCTCTCACAGTTCTGCAGGGCCGCAAAAACGGAGCTTTTCCGGCAGGCATTTCAGTAGGAGCTGCACTTTATCAGCTAAGCCTTGTGCCAACCTAGAGCAAGAAGCTACCTAGAATGGTATCCACCGCTGATCATGCCCATGAATGCACTTTATTATACTGTACCAACATTGATATATTAACGGTCCTATGTCATGTTTTATGTATTTTATTGTGATGTATCTTTTTTTATTGATTTTTATGTAAGCCGACCTGAGCCTGCTTCGGCGGGGAGGGCGGGGTAAAAGTTGAAGCAATAAATAAATAAATAAATAATTTTTTTTAAAAAAGCATGATGCCTCTCAGGATCTTTTTGCATCCTCTGCAATCAAGTGTGTCACAGGAATAAGGAAGACATATGAAACTGCATAAATAATTTTGGTTGATTAGTTACGATGAATTTTATGATGGATTTTAATTGTATTTTATCCACTGTGTAAGCTGCTCTGAGCCTGCTTTGGTAGGAAGGGTAGAAATCGAATAAAAGAAAAAAAAGAAAAAAAGAAATAATACCAGGATAGAAATTCTGATCTTAATGTGCACTTCTGTGAGACAACTGTGCAGAGGATTTGGGTAAAAGCATGTTGTATGTGTATGTTCTTGCTGAATTGTACAACAGTGTGGTTTGAAAAGAAACAAAATGGATAATGCAAAAAATTTACCTGTAGTAATGGAATTTCAGTGGTGAAAGAGTACACAGTGTTGTTAGAAGGTCTGGTTTGCTTTGTTCCACCGTGAGTAATCACTATATAGGAGAAGCCATCAATCTGAAATGCCATGCAGCGCTGAGGACTTTGAATATTAAAATCCTGAGAAAAGAAACATGAATTTGATGACCTAAGAGTGTTTTTGCCTGCCCATTTAACACCATGCATGAACAAATCTTTAAAACAAAAACACCAGCTTGAAGCTCCCTTTTCTGTGAACAGAAGTACGCATCCATTGCGCCAAGCATTTTCCTACTCCCACTGCGGACCCTCATACCACTTTCCATGCCTGATGGTTCCTCCAGCCCTCAAGACTGGCTTTTTTGGGAAGATGCCAGGGCTGCAGTAGGAAGGAAAAGGTGTGGGACGGGTCTGATCCAGGAACAGTCTGGGCATTTGATTCCTGCTAAATGAGGCCAAAGTAATGCATCAACTACTTTTTGGAGTAGCTATCTGGCTTGATGGATGACGTCCGAGTATATAAAAGGGGGGTACAGGCTTGATTCTTTAGAGCTATTCTGGGACCCCCTAAATGTATAGCAGTGGGCCTCGAGGTGGGATTATATTCATTAACCCTTTTTGTACAAAGTGCAGCCATAATGTTCTGGGTGACAATTTGCCACAGAGATCCATCCTCTAGTTTTACTAATCTTGTATTAAAACATGTATTTATGAGCAAACAGAAGAAAGCTACAATCTACAGTTAGAAGTGCTGCATTTTCTTGGGGTCTTCTACCCTGGGTACAGTCTGAAGAAGGCCCGGATGTTAATCAAGAAAAGGACTTGTGATACAGATTACCAGAATATGCATGCTGTAGCACATAGAGCTTGTTCAACTTTAGCCTTGGATCTGAACTGTCCAGTACTTATAAAATGTGCAAGCTACTTAAAAATCTTAAGTGTACCAAAATATAGGTGAGCTTTTTACTCAAGGATCATAAGAGGAGATCATAAAAAGAAGAACCCTGCAGGATCAGACCAGTGGTCCACCTAGTTCAGCATCCTGTCTTACACAGTGGTCAACCAGTTGCCCTGGACAGCCAACAATACAGCATCAAGGCTGAAGACTTCTCTGATGTTGCCTTCTGGCACTGGTATTCAGAGGTTTACTGCCTCTGAATGGGGAAGTTCCCTTTAGACAGCATGGCTAGAAGTCACATATGGACCTATCCTCCATGAATGTATGTAATCTCCTTTTATAGTCATCTATGCTTGCTGGCCATTACTACATCCTTTGGCAGTCAATTCCACATTTTAATCACTCATTGAGTAAAGAGTAGTTCCATTTGTTTCAGCGGAATCTATTGCCCACCAGCTTTACTGGGTGTTCTCAAGGTCTATGCTTTGGGAGAGAGAGAAAAAGTTATCTCTGTTTAGTCTCTCTTCCTCATGCATAATTTTATAAGCTTCTATCATGTCTGCCCTCAATTATCTTTTTTCTAATCTGAAAATCCCATCTCTTTAGCCTCTTCTCATAAGAAAGGTGGTCTAACCTCTTAATCATCTTGGTTGCTCTCTTCTGTCTTTTCCAACTCTGAAACGCATCCCTTTTGAGATACCGTGACCAAAATTGCACAGTGTTCCAAATGAGGCCACTCCACAGATATATATATAGGGGGTTATAATAGTGGCAATTTTATTTTCAAACCTTATCCCAGCACAGAGCTTGCCTTTTTTCATCTCTACAGTACACAGATTTGAAATTTCCATTGAGCTAACCACTATGACCCAAAAATCTCTTTACCTCTCAGTTTCAGCAAGTTCAGACCCTATTAACATACATGCTCTTAATAGTTTAATTGATCTCCAAGAATTTTTTTTTGTTCTAACATGCATCACTTTACACTTCGTTACATTAAACTTCACTGCCACTCACTAAAGTTAGAGATATCCTCCTGGAGCGTTTCACAGTTGGCCTTAGTTTCTACCATCCTGAAATCATTCTGTGTCATTGAAAATTTTAGCCACTACATGGATCACCCCCCATGTCCAGATCATTTACAAACAAATTAAATAACACCGGACCCAATACTGATCCTTGCGAGAACCTACTGCTGACTTCCTACCATTGAGAGAACTGTCCACATATTCTTTCTCTCTGTTTCCTGCCATTTAACCAATTTTTAACCTGTAGGAAGACCCACCCTCTTATCCTGACTGCTAAGCTTACACAGGAGTCTTTTTGTGGTCATTAGGAGGAGGAGGAGGAGATTGGATTTATACCCCACCCTTCACTCGGAGTCTCAGAGAGGCTTACAAACTCCTTTCCCTTCCCCTCCTCACAACAGACACCCTGTGAGGCAGGTGGGGCTGAGAGAGCTCTTTTAAGAACTGCTCTTTCAAGAACAGCTCTTGTCAGAACTATAGCTTGCCCAAGTTCATCCAGTAGCTACAAGTGGAGGAGTGGGGAATCAAACCCGGTTCTCCCAGATTAGAGTCCGCACACTTAACCACTGCACCAAACTGGCTCTCAGTTTCGAAAACACATCCCTTCAGGTGACTGTGATATAGGGTCATAGAGACTGTATCCCATGTGTTGTTGTTTTGTAATTATTGTAAAGTAGTCAGAGATGTCCCAATCTTGGCTACACTGATTGTCCCAGTCTTGGCTACACTATCAGGCCAGGCCATTCAGTAGAAAACAGGGTTGCACTTACCTGTAACTTGTTTATCTAGTGGTCTTCTGTGCAGGCCCACACTGGGACTGTGTGTGCGCAGGTCAGCCATGGAAAAGATTTCCAAAGTTTTCTTGTAGACTAAGAGTGCTCCTCTTCCATCTGAGTATTTCCTACCAAAATGATCACATGACCAGAAGGAGAGGTGATACTGCCTCAGTTCTCTCCATGCCGCCACCAAAGACCCCAAGAAACAGCAGATCCAGAGAGTTCACAGCGGGGCAAGAGGGAGGGATGTGTGCCTGCACATAAGACCAATCAATGAACAACAGGTGCAGGTAAGTGCAACCATGTTTTCATCATTGTGGCCTCTGTGCAGCCCCACACTAGGTAGATTAGCAAGAACAGGAAACTCCACCCACTTAGCAACTCTCCAAAACTACAAGACTCTGTTAACCCATGCCTCCAAAGATTTCACCTTGAAACAGAGGGCAGGCAGGAAAAGGCTTCTTCAGTCAGGCCTTGAAAACAGGCTCCTATCAGGTCATACCTCCAGGCTTCTGGTCACATCTGACTGAAGGCAGAGAAGGAGAAGTTTTCCTTCAGTCAGACAGCCTCTACCAGGCCACACCTCCAGGCTTCTGGTTGGACTTGAGAGAAGCCCGAGAGGGGGTTCTTCAGCCAGGCAGTCTCTGCAGGCCACACCTCCCGGCTCTTGGATTCAAGAGGAGCACAGAAGACAAAGGGATTCCTTGTCAGGCCAAAGCCTTTAAAAAGAGCCATTCTGAATCGGAGGCTCTCTCAGGTGACACTTCCAGGTTTCTGTCTTCATAGCTGACACAACCATGGAGGGGAAAGGTGCCTTTATGCAGGCTGGCATGCAGCCAAAGTGTTTGAAAAGAGCCAGTGAGTCCAAGGCTCTGTCACATTATACCTCACCAGGGAGGGGGAATGCGCCTTCATTCAGCCTGGTGTGCAGCCAAAGCCTTTGAAAAGAGCCAGTGAATCTGAGGCTCTGTCACACCACACCTCGCCAACAAGGGGGAAGGTGCCTTTATTCAGGGTGGTGTGCAGCCAAAGCCTTCGAAAAAGAGCTCTTCTGAGTCCAGCTCTATCAAATCCTTCCTTTAGGGGGAAATGGTGACAGAAAGAGCAGGCAGCTCTGTTGTGTGAACCCTCCAGGCAAATCAGGAACAGAGAATAGGCATTTATCAGCACCATTTTAAAGCCACAGTTGGCACAATCCTGAGGAGGCCTCTTTTGAGCCATAATGACACAGTGGAAATCCAGAAACATTTCTTATGTAAATGTAGTTTATGCTTCAATAGAATGAGTATTGATGACAAAAAAGAAAACTTTTGAGAGAAACAAGCAGCCTCAAGAATGAGGTGAGGAAAAAACACAAAACAGCAATGGAGATCCTCTCTCCACGACAAAGAGAACTGAGGAAGTACTGCCCCTCCTCCTAGTCATCTGATTATTTTGGCAGGAAAGTGCCAGAGGGAGAAGGGGCACTTCTAGTCTACAAGAAAGCTTTGGCAATCTTTTCTACAGCTGGCCTGTGCACATGCGGTCCCAGTGTGTGCCTGTACAAAAGCCATGATGAAGAACAGACAATTAACCTTTTTGTAGCTGGAGAGAATTACATACCTCTGGGAAAGTGGCTTTTCTCTTTCTTTACATTTAAAAACCTAGAACGACTTTTTGAAAGTGTGTTACCTCAACAGGAACAAAAACACCTCGCCACTGGTATATTGAAGAATGTACAGCTGGATGTGTTCTCAGCAGTATGCCATATATAGATTCTCCTGATGTAAAAAAACACCAGCTAGATATTGGTTCTTCCATAAAACTTTGTAAGATGGACAGCACACTTATTCCACCCTCTGCAACATGGAGAAAATACAGCAATTACAGGGGCAGCTGACAAAAACAACGGAAGAGACACTAGCACAGTTAATGTAGTGGCATTATCTCAGAACATACAATAAATTGGCCAAGAAGTAAACCCTGGAATAAAGCATGCAAAAGGAGGACTGAGAATACAGCCAGAGATAACAGTCCAGTCAGTCCCTGCGCTACCTGATACAACTTAAGTAGGGATGCGAGAACAGTGCATCCCACACAGATAAGCACGGGGCAGAGGCTCCTGTCCCACGCTGTGACTGTTGCAATTAGTTCCCCATGCCCATATAGCCACTCTGTGTGTTGCTCCAACAATAGTTGCTAGCAATATTGCTAGCAATAAGTATATAATATGCAGAAAGAGGGAATCCTCTTGCAGATATGACAGCTTCATAGCACCTCCCTGTCAATGTAATGTTATGCTGGTGCAACCCCCCCCCCCAATGTGTGAGACAAAAGGAGCACAACCATAGGCCTCGATGACTTCCAGCCACCCACTCTAATCATTGCTACTATTGGCCATACAGTAATGCTGCCTATTACCCTGCAGAATCAGTGCTCCATGCAGTAACTCCAACAGACAATAGATGTTGTTTCAGTGCATCCATGTGCAGCGGTTGGATGCTTCCCTGTCATGGAGGCAGTGGCAGTATGCTGTGCCGTGACTGGTGGGTTGTGGGAAGGTTACTATGCTATATGCCAGTGTTAGCTTCATAGAATGGGGCTGTTAAAAACTTACTTATCCCAAATGCAGTATCTGATAGTGTTTCCCATTCCACACTCACTGATGTGTTGAGCCCATTGCTGCGGGATACTTCCAGGTAGACTGTAGCATTCGCTTCTTCAATTATGACGGAATTTGTCCTAAAAGTCATGAAGACCATTACTAAAGTAAAGCAATGTATTCCTGTCATAAGACTAGGGACTGCAGAGACAATGGCCAAGACAGAAACATAAATTACAAGAAAAACTTGTTTATCTGGTCTATTAAAAAAACAACTCTAGGTGCTTGAGTATACAAGACATTTCTAATGAATATCTATCATTTTACTTATACCTCAAAGTAAAATGTTGCCACCTTAAACTACTACAGGAGCAAAAGGCTTATGCTGAAATATTACGACTTCATAATAACAATATATATATATATATATATATACAATATATATATATATACAAAGGGAGAAATTGAAAGTTCACAGTCTATGGATTCCAACTAGAACACAACATCAGAGGCAGCAAATGCATTTGTATTAATATAAAATAAAAGAACTACAAGAATTTTATATTGGTGGTATCTGGCGTCAAGTAAGTTCACAATAATAGAACTTGTTGCAATTGTTGCAAATATAATTTCCCTTCTGCAGACCTTTTGTGAATATGGTAGATTTGCCCCACTTTGTGTTTGGAGGGGGTGGCTCAGAAAGAAAGGAAATTAATAGAATAGCAACATGTGATTCATCATTAACTCCTAAAGTGGGGGTTCCCAATGTGGTGCCACTGGATGCCACAGTGCCTGCCAACACCTTTTCTGGCACCTACCAAGTGTTTTTAGAAAGTGGGCATGGTAAGGTGGGACTACTGCTCAGCAGGGCTTCTGATTAGTATTGGGAATTTGACTGGATGTACAGATTAAAATAATATTGTTTTAGCACCAGCTGCCACTGTAGATTTTATTTTATTCTCTCTCCTCTTTCTTAGGACATTTTTAAAAATTACTCTTCTTGTCCCCTGCATTTGAGCTTCCTGTGTGTGTGTGTGTGTGTGTGTTTTGGTGTATCTGCCTCCTGAAGCGGCTACTTTATGATTAACTCCACCTTCCACAGCAGTCATTTTGTGGCTGTGTCAGAATTCCCAAGGTGCCCACAGGCACAAAAAAGAGTTGGGGACCCCTATCCTAAAGCAGTATTTTTTGGCCAACTAACAATTTTGTAACAAATTTCATTACTCCTTACCAGCTGTTTTATTGACTGACAACTAACAGAATTGATACAATTGTACTATTAAGGATATAATTATCAAGATACTGCAAATAGGACGAGTAATTAAACTGTGTGATAGTACTAAAGTGATATTTTCAATGTGCTGTTTACCAAGAGTTGGCATCCAAATACTGATCATATGGAAGAGAACATATGGTATTAGTAATATTTATATTCATTTGATATTTTAACTTTTCCAGTTTTTGGTTTATAGATATCTGCTTTTAGACAAATCACAGTAAGAATAAACAAAATATAATTCAGGTCAATATCCTGGCAGCTCTTGGCATATCCTATCTACAAACAAGAACATATGAACACATGAAGCTGTCTTTTACTGCATCATATCATTGGTCCACCAAGGTCAGTATTAGCTCTCCAGGGTCTCAGGTAGAGGACTTTCATATCACCTACTACCTGATCCTTTTAGCTGGAGATGCTGGGAACTGAACCTGGCGCATTCTACATGCCGAGCAGATGCTCTACCACTGAACCATGGCCCCTCCCCAAAGAGAAAATGCATATATTAAGACAGTGAAACGATGTACCTATTTGAAATGGGGTAGATACGGAAAAGCCCCAATGGAGCCTGGTTTTGTAACACTGTGATAAATGTTTCTAGCCTGGTGCCTATCTTGGCTCCTCCAGTTGGACTGAACAGAGTAACAATGAAATGCTCATCCATTTCTGGTTCAGCATCTAATATGGCAGAAATATGCAAAGTCTGTAAGAGAGGGGGGGAAAGGAAATTCACTGAATCTGGACAACACAAAGAGTTTAAATTAGTTAGCATTAGGTATCATAAGTATAATGAACATCAGTATTCTGATTCCAAAGCAAATGAACATATCCGTCATTATTCTGTGGGCTATACTACTTGCATATAGGATTTTATTACCTGTTTGCTATGAGTATTATCTCACTGCACTGCTATCTAATTATGTAATACCATTTTCTGCATTAACATATCATAATATTTATACTTTGTTGCAAATTTCTGTAATCCCAGTCCTATTACATTATTTATTAGATATCTTACCCTGTTAATTGCATTGATTTATACTGGGTAATCCACTTTGAGTCTCAGTGAGAAACACAGATTACAAATAAGATAAATAAAAAGTCTGCATTAGAGCTATTCTACATACTTGGAAAATTAAATTGTAAATTGAGGTAAAGAAAATCTGGATTCTATCATTTCACGCAGTGTACGTGATATTTTGAATGATCTACTTAAGTATTATATGAGGGGAGGGAGGGTTTTTTATGTGGCATAGAATTTCAGCTTTTTTTAAAATGTAGTACAGTAATTGAATGAGTGGAGGCAGGAAAATTTCAAACTTTCCTGGATGAAAGGAATCATTTGGAACCCTTCCAGTCTGGTTTTAGGCCTGGTTATGGGACAGAAAGAGCCTTGGTTGCCCTGTGCTGAGAGATGGAATCAGCTGCCTAGGGAGGTGGTGAGCTCCCCATCACTGGCAGTCTTCAAACAGTGGCTGGACAAACACTTGTCAGGGATGCTCTAGGCTGATCTTGCACTGAGCAGGAGGTTGGACCAGATGGCCTGTATGGCCCCTTCCAACTCTACGATTCTATAGGAGGGAGTGGGACTCCCTCAACTGCTAGGTGAGGTCATCCAGAGATTTGGCCTGTGTCATCACCAATATGAGGATGACACTCAGCTCTATCCTGTGGTCGATTCCAGGGAAGCCATATAAACCCTGAACTGGTGGCTTGGAAGCAGGGCTAATGCACTGAAACCTTAATTCCAACAAGATGGAAGTGCTACTAGTTAATGGAAGGTCTGACCCAGAATTTAAGGTGTTGCCTGTTCTAGATGGGGTTGTGCTCCCCTTGAAGGAACAGGTCTGTAGTCTGGTGGTGCTTTTGGATTGCTGGATAAGCAGGTGGCAGCTGAAGCCAAGAGTGCCTTTTACCAGCTTCGAATGGTTAGCAAGCTGTGGCCTTTCCTAGACAGAAAAGATCTGGCCACCGTGGTACTCGCCATGGATGCATCTAGATTAGATTACTGCAATGTGCTGTATGTGGGGCTGCCCTTGAAAAATGTTCAGAAACGTCAGTTGGTACAGGATGTTGCAACCAGGATATTGACTGGAGTGGGTCATAGTGACCATATCTCTACAGTGTTAGCCTATGTACACTAGTTCCCAATTTGTTTCCAGCTCAATTCAAGATGCTGATGTTGACATTTGAATCCCATTATGGCTTGGGACCAACATACCTCCAGGGCTACCTACTCCCTTTATGAACCTACCCAACCACAGAGGTCCTCTTCCGTCGCCCTGCTGCAGCTACCCCCCCCCTTCTGAGATTAGGCAGGTGGCCACTCAGGGCAGAGCCTTCTTAGCTGTGGCACCAATACTCTGGAACTCTCTCCACACCAGTGGGTGAAGAACTTTTTGTTTCATCTGGTGTTCCCTCAGCGATCCCTCCTTCCTGACCAATGTTTTGTTTTTATATTTTTTGAAGTGTATTTTAGCTCTGGTTTTAATTGTTTTAATGATATGTTTGTCCATTTTAATGTTTTTTAAGATGTCATTTTATTATGTATGTTTCTAATTTGTTAGCCGCCTTGGTGGTCCTTATGAGGGCAGAGAGGCAGGGTATAAACTTTGTACATAAATAAATAAATAAAAATTTACATTCTTCACACTTGTAGTCTGAAGCAGTAATACTGTCCAGAATTCTACTGCCTTAACTACCTGATTCTGCCTAATAAGTAGACTGGCTCTTAAAACCATACTGTGGAATAACTTCTCCTTTCTCGTTTTTTTTTAATTGATGCACAAATATATTTTCATACAGAACCAAAATATTTCTTCCATTTTGTAATAACTACCTGAATATTACCTTCAATCTGACTCCCTCTTCTAGGACAATATAGCCTTGTGATGGGGTCAAATCTACAGATGCTTCAGAAGAGTTTATCTCGTGCACAAGATACTGCACGGTCACAGTTCCAAATATCCCCTGAGGAGGTTCCCTGATAATGGTTAGCACTGCAACACTTTCCATCAGTTGGAGTGCTGACTGCTCCCTTAGAAAGAAATGCTCACTGTTGTTGAAAGACAAAACTCCATGCCCATCATCATTCGTCAGAATAGTAACTGTGGCTTTTAACAGAAAACAAATAGAGTAATTACAATGCATCTAACACAATTTAATCCGTATCAGACAAAAATAATAATGCATTTTGTAGAATAACTCCCAATCCATTTTAGATCTTATTTACCTATTATTAAACATGTTGTCTTCTGTACAACATTTAACAATATGATTAGTGCTGACTGTGTGGCCAGCCCGGGCTGTGGCTCCCAAAATACTGGAGGAGTGGACCAGACTGAAAACTCTGGCTTCCAAGCCCGCGCCTGGTAGCCCTTCCCCTCCCAGAACCCAACTGGCTGCCCAAGGCTGGCCCAGTCTGGTTGCCTCAGCCCACTGCACCAAACAACGGAAGAAGAAATCCTTCCCCTTTGCTCTCTCCAGCCCCACAGCTGCAAAAGTGGCCCCTGGTGCAATCCGCGGCCTGTTGCTACTAATCATGACTATGGGAAATTAAGGCCAATTGATTTCAACAAACTTTGGGAAATAATTATAATCAGTATGCTTGTAATGATCCACAAACAGCACACTGTCACTTTCCCAGCACTTTCCTGGGAATAATTCCCACTGAAGAGATTTGAGTAGGATTTTGAGTAGACCTGCTTAGAATTGCTCTATATTAGTGTTGCATCTGGATCTGTTTACTATCCACATGTCATATGACAATACAGAGCTGACCTGTTTCCAAAATGATCTTAGTTTGATATAACAAGAAGTTGGTGAAAACTATCTGATTGATAGGAATCTCAGAATTTAAGAACTAGAATGGTGTTAAACACTGTGTAAAGTATTCAACTCTACTTAAGCTTAGTTATGCATAATGTATTATTCAATGTAAACAGCACAACTGTAGTACAAGATGGTATATACTATTGCACTTAATATTATAACCCAGTTACATTTCATGTGATACACAATGAATAACATAGCTATTACTGAGGAATTATTAAAGCACTTAGAATATAAGATGTGAAATATTACCATCTATATCAATAATTATGTTATTGAAAAGAAAGTCAACTAATGGCTTAGTAATGTGTTTTTGTTCCAAAATTATTGTATTGTTATATCATGCTCTTGTGGGGATTTCAGTATCCTAAACAAAAACATGTAATTATCCACTGCAAGCAATGATGATATCTAGAATAAAATTCTACACAAAATAGAGCTTCAAGAATAATTTGTATTACCCGTTGTGTTTTCTCCTAACTCCAGTCCAAGGGATGGGTTCGTTAAAATTAGCTGGAATCTCTCATCCCCTTCAGGGATCTCATCATCAAAAATCATAATATCAACATATTTATACCTTTCACCATCAGCAAAGAAAAGAGTCTAGTAACAAAAAATGTGCATGGTAATTCAGAAATAATTCAGAAAATTGTGGGCATGTTGCATAGTGGCTCAGATAAAATACATTTTCTAATTCAATACGTTAAATCTTAGGCAACTCGTACAAACCAACCATGTGACAGTAATTAAAGGCATTTGACATCCAACAGTTTTTGATCCAGTCAAAATAAACCCACAAATACCTGAATGGAATCTTTCATTGTGCTAATGAAAGCTGTCTTCTTCTACTTCTTCTTCCCCCACACCCTACTATTTAAGAATTCCTCTAATTAAGCATATTGGCTGATTTCTCTCTGAATCAAGTTATTTAAACCAGCATCTGACTGCTTTTATGATAAGTGGAATTGTATTATTGTTTGTCCTTACCCTTGAGGCAATGTTAAAATCCAGCCCCAGCTGTGCTTCCAGATTCTGAGCATACAAGAACAATGACACATTCCCATAAGATCCTCTATCTCGAAATGCCACTAATGTCAAACTTTCATTTAGTTCATTTATTTCAAAACTGTAAAAAAGTAGAATTGTTCCCAATTACATGATTTACAGGTACCAAATGCTGAAACTGCTATGTTTCTATAAACTTTGCATAGGTATTCTCTAGCTACTAATTAGGAAAGGACATAAAGTACTGGATGAAAACTATGACACTAGATAGACTGTACTGTGATGTATCTAAAACAGTGTTGCAGGTCCAGGGCCTAATAGGGAGAGAATGTGCAGAAGAGAAAAAACACAACAACAATTTTGTGGAATTAAATGGCCACAGCTGTACTGATTACAAATTAAGGAGCATATTGGCACAGCATGGAGATGGATCCAAGCATTGGATGACCCACTTGTTGCCCGATGAGACCAAACACCTCAGCCCACTTACTGGGGAGCAAAACCATGGAGTGGTAAGAACTGTGGTTACCAAATGACCGGATGTCGCTGAGTGGTTCCCCAACCACCGAGCTGGGCATGTTGCATAGTGGCTCAACCCCACAAGTCACTTTAAGGGAGTCCCCAAACGGGGGTGAGTGGGCATGCAGGCCCATCTCACCCCAAAAGGATCCTTCCCAATGCCCAAACCACCCAAGCTGTAACAAGATACAACCTTTAAAACTGCAAACAAACAGTAAACTGAAAAAAGGGAGGGAGGGTGAGAGAGCCGAGAAAACACCACTCTGAGTGCTTCTGCAGCGCTGTTTAAATATGCTGCCAGGCTCTGACATAGCCCCTTGAGTCTGAGTTTGCCTCGAACTCCCACACTTAGTGAGCCAACCCACCTGCTGACATGGGTGACCAGCCATTAGGATAGCTGCCAGCAACCACCTCCCAGTCACCTGGCCATGTGGCCAGAAGCAGCCATTGCCTCCTTCTGTCTGTCCTGGCCCGGGCAGCAACTGTGGCCTACGGTAAATCATGGCCAGTATTTGTCTATTGGCTGGCATAACTTTCCTGTTGATGCTGTCAGTTTCGCAACCAATGTGTTAGACAGTCAGCACCTATCAGACATGACCTGTGTCCAGGACTGGCCCCGGCCTCAGCAAGTCAGCCTGTGCTGACTCCACCCAACCTTGGCCGGAGGACACACATGGCAAAAGATGAAGGGTAAGACACAGGAGCACCTTACCTCCCCCCCCCTCAGGAACCAAGCCACCACTGCCACTGACCATCTAGCCCACACCCAGGTGATCAGGCAGGGAGCAGCTCTCACAGCTGGGAAGAGAAAGCATGGGAGTGACTGGAGCAACATCGGTGAGGGAGCTGGGGAACAGAGAGTCAATGCAGGAGCTGGCCCTCCGCTGGTCAGGGTGGGCAAGGCTGCAAATGAGGGGAAACCTCTGGGCAAAGTCTGGCCACTGTCAGGTGTGTCAAAGAAAGGAAGGAGTTCAAGGCAGACCCGCCTCATGTAGAAGGGTTTTAGAAGGGAGGGGCAGGGATGGAAAGGGGGCCAGGGACTAGTTCAATAAAAGGACAGTTTCCCAAAGGTGTGGGGGGGAGGGGGAAATGGGCACACATGGTCCACTCTGGGGATCCAGCACGCCAGGGTGCAGGAGGAAACCAGTGTGTTGACCACCGTCACGATCCATTCTGAGGCCCGGGACAAGGAGAGGGATGACAGGGGAGCAGCTGAGAGGCAAGCAGGTAAGGCCAGAGCAACAGTGGTGAGACACCCCAAGAGAGAGGCCAAGGGGGCACCTCTCAGCCTGATCACTCAATCGGTCAGGTTTGTGCTGAATGGCCATGAATGCCTGCAGAACAAGTTTGCACTAGTAGTTTTTTTAAAATAAACAAATAAAACTGCATGCACTGAGACACTGCCAATTCAAACAGCTCAGTATCAATAAGGTCTACTTAGGAAAATACCAAAGGGTAAGATTTTTTAAAAACATGGTGTTTGTTTACAACTGGGCATCCACATATAAGTTTTGATAACTGACCATCCACATCTAATCCACATGTATAATTTTCTCCAACAGCATAATTTCACCTGCTGCGATTTGGGGATTTGCAAGGGAAGCTGCTTCTGAAAGGACTGTCAACGGAAAAATGTTATTTTTTTTAATTGCCACATTCTCTCTGTACAACCTGAGGAAATGGTTAAACTCTCAAGCAACTGAAACAGTACGATACGCTAATGAAAGATGAGACTTACTTTGTTGTTTGCCAGCCAATTACTCCTCTTGCACCATCATTAGCATCAATAATAATCTGCGCTGTCGAGCCACCTATATCTAAAACAGGATTACAAATTGCGTGTTATTTTATTTGAAGTGTTGTTCTAGGATCAGCTATCAATCCACTGTGAAACAGCAGTCTCATTGACATGTTACAGTGAAACATGTACATCCTGCATGTATATCTCTGTGTTCCATTTTCTCTCTTTCTCTGTCCCCCATCCCATCATGCTTTCTCTCTCTTTCTCCCACCCCAACACCCGCTGTCACTCTCTCTATTTCTCCCCCAATATGTGCCAGTCTTTCTCTCATTTCCTAACCACCAGCTCCTGCTGTCATTTTTCTCTCTCCCTCCCCCAATGCCTACTGTCACACAATTCACACACGCTCTCTCTATCCCTCACCCGATCACTCCTTCTCTCTCCCACTGCCTACTGTCCCTCTCTCACCCTCACCAAAACAAAAAAACATGTTCGCCCTCTCATCACCCTTTCTCAGAACATACATTTAGAGATTTCTTCTCAAAGCCATACACCAACTACATTAAACATGTTAGGCTGTAGCTCTGAAGGACTTACAAAACATCCCTAACCATCACAGAACTGGTTAGAAAGCTGACATGCCCAGACCCGACATGGGTGCCAGGACATGAACTGGGGTAGGAAGGATGTTTATTTTTTCAATTAGCACTTAGGAAAGGGGAAAACAAACAAAAGAGAGAGGAATTGGCTACAAACATTTATGTGAACTGCCAGTAAGCGCACACAAACACACTCACGGGCACTTGAAAAAAGCAGAATGGTGAAGAAGGAAACAAAATGACCAGGTTCAGAAACATCCTAATGGGAAAAGACATTAATCAAAGAACTGAGGAGTACAGCTACAAGTGGCAGTTAAATCTATGCTCCTCTCCATTTTAGGAGGAACAGCCAAACTCACACTTATACAAAGGTCACCAAGGAAGCAGAGAAGGGAGGTGGCACACCCACCCCAGTTCCTTTAGGCTTCAAAAAGCCAGGTCCTCGCATCACCCGTCAGCCCATGAGGGCACGCCTTTCAACAGCCTAAGGCAAACAGGCCACCATCACCCCCGGTTATCTCTGCTTTTCTTTCTGTGAGTTGACTCGTGGCGGGAGGGGATCCCCATCAATTTGCCGGGCAGCTCAGCTCACGACTGCTTTGCTCCATCCTTACCCATCAAAAGTCTTGTGAGGGGGAGATTTCACTGAACCTTTGTCCTCTTTCAGCCTCCCAGCCTACTTAACTACCACCTCCCCAGGGTGAGTGGCAGGGTTTCTCCTTCCTCGCCTACCTTTCTGCCTCCAGCACATTCACCACAGCAGCAGCAGTTCCTACTCCTCCACACTCACCCACAGCACCATCACCTCTTTGGTGCTGGGAAAGGCTTCCACTCCTCCTCCCCACCTGCTGGCCAGCCTCCAGAGGACAGGCATGGGTGGGCTGCATTAGGACACACAGGACTGACTGGCTCCTCTT